TATGTATAATCGATTATGTTTGTAAATATTATAATATTTGCATACATAATTGATTATGCATAAAGATATAATCGATTATGTTAAAAAAATTAATAATATATTTTTATTTTCTTATTATAATAATAAATAATTAAAAATTATATTAAAAAATTATAATAAAATAATAAAAAGTTATTAATAATAAATAAATTAATTCAACTTTTCACTCATTTCTTTTAATTCAAGCAATCCTAGTTTCTACCATCTTTTCACATTTTTCACTCCCTCAAATCCACTTTTCAATCTAAACAAATGCTTAAAGGTTAGTACGACACTTAAACAACTTATAGATATTAGTAGTGATGACATATATGAAGACTTGAGGAAAAGTAAAAGACAGATAAATGAAACCTCCTTTATAGATGATTTTTACACTTATCTAGTTAAAAATGATTCAACGAGCATTTTAGAAGCAGTTAGTGGTCCTGATGCAACACATTAGGAAAAAATTAAGACTAAAGTTGACTCAATTAAGAAAAATAATACTTGGACTTTAGTAAATTTATCTAAAGGAGCAAAATTCATTGACTGTAAGTGGATCTATAAGAAAAAAATCATCTTGATGGATCACAGATAAATAAGGCAAGATTAATAGTAGAGGTTTTTACTCAAAAAATCTAACATTGATTATTTTGATACATTTTCCCCTGTGATTAGAATTTCCTTTATTTGAGTTTTGTTAGCTTTAGCATCTATCCATAAGCTAGTTATACACCAAATAGATGTTAAGACAATATTTTTGGGTGGTGAATTAGAGGAGAAAATTTATATGACTCAACCTGAAGGACGTGTTATTCATGGTCAAGAGAACAAAGTATGCAAATTTTTAAATTTTTCTATGGATTAAAACAGACACCAAAATAGTGGCATGAAAAACTTGATAGTGTTATACTTTGTGATGACTTTTCAATTAATGATACTTATAAATGTGTGTACTCTACATTTGAAAGTGGTGAATCTGTCATTATATGTTTATATATAGATGACATACTAATATTTAGTACATACATTACCATAATCTTTAGAATTAAGTTGTTTTTGGGATCTAAATTTGAAATGAAAAATATGGTTGAAACCAATGTGATTTTGGGAGTTAGAATCATAAGAAGGAGATATAACATTTTACTATACTAAGAACAATACGTTGAGAAACTTTATAAGAAGTTTTATATTATGACTTATAACTAGTGAGTACTCCTTATAATGCTAACTCTAAATTAAAGAAAAATAGAGGAGACTTTATTTTTTAACCTCAATATGCCTAAATAATTGGGAACTTACTGCATTTAATAAACTTTTCTAGACCTGACATTGCTTATGCAGTAGGTAGACTGAGTAGGTACACTCAATGTCTTAATTAGGAACATTGGAATACATTTGCAAGGTTTATGAGATACTTAAGTGGTTAAATGGATTATGTCATTGAATATAGTGGATTTCCTATTTTACTAGAAGGTATAGTGATGCTAACTAGATCTCTAATTCAGATGAGACAAAATTCACTAGTGGTTATGTATTTACAGTTGGCTGTGGTGCAATTACATGGTAATAAGCCAGACAAACAATTATTGCAAGATCAACAATACAGTAAGAGTTTGTTGTTCTTTGAAATGGTTAGTAGTGAAGTTTAGTGGTTGAAAAACTTTTTAGCAAACATTTCGCTAGGAATGAAACCAATCCCTTATATGTTAATACATTGTGATTGTCAATTGACAATAATTATAGCTAAAAACAAGAATTACAATGAAAAGAACAAACATATACAATTAATACATAATTTGGTAAAATAATTACTAATGAGTGAAATAATTTCCATTGATTATGTGAAGTTAAAATGAAATATAGCATATCCCCTAAAGAAACCCTAAGGGAGAAACATGATTTTAGAAACATCGAAGAGAATGAAACTTAAACTACTTGAAAAAAATAATGGTAACTCAACCTTTATGATTGGAGAATCTATGAATAGGTCCATATGGGTAAAATCAAATCACTTGTTAGTTTTGTTAGCACTAAAATTAATTAAAATAAATTATGTTCATTCCTATAGTGTGTGTAAAAGTGCTAGATAGTGGTGCATCATTGAGAGGTTAAACTTTGTAATTAAAATTTTATGTGGTGCACAAGTTTTAGTCTAAACAAAGTTTTCAATGATTTTCATATCCCTTACAGGTGATGTATGATTTGCAGTATACACTTGATGAAATTATATATTTGAGTGTCAAGTGGGGTCACTTGTATGAGATATTTGCAATATTTCTAGAACACTTATGAATTTCAGACACGCATAGTGTAACATAACAATAACAACAAGAATTATGAGAGTGTATTATGAATATTAAACCGCTAACATACACTAAGTATTTTAGTTCATATAATTTACTATATCAACTACATTGTATATTAAGTTTTTAGTCTAGGACTGGTTCATATAACTTGTTATACCAACTTTGATGCATTACATTTTATATGAGACCCAATATTTTCTTCTTTATGTCTCTTTTGATTTTACAATATGTGAGGGGATGTTAGGAAAACGGAGTATTGCAAAACCTAATCTCCCACGAACTCCATGAACCCGAGACCCATGAACGTTACCCAAAAGAGTTGTGCAAGTCATCCTCCACACATGTTGGCCATAATTATTGTAGATTTGGCCACGAAAACTACCATATCTCTCCAACCTCATATTTTAAAACTTTCGCACACCTTGGTAGAGACGTAGGAGGTTGAGTTTTTTTAACCCATTTACACTTATAAATTGATGTTTCTATCCTCGTTCCAAAATCATAAAAATATAATCATTCATCTTTTTTTTTTTCTCTTTTTTCATTCTTTTCTTATCCTGAGTTTATATATTATTTTAAGAGTTTTTTACTAGTTTATGAGTTCTTCGAAAAAAAATTATTATTTTTGGAAGACTTACACAATACATTACGGATAAATATTTTAAAAAATTATTATATACACTTCAAGAATTAAGTTTTATTCATGTTTCTTCGCATTTACAAGAAAAAATATTGTAAGAAAATGTGAATTCTAAAAGCGCTCATCAATAATATATTTTGACTTATATTTTATATTTTGTTAGTTATTTATAACTTTCTTTTTTCTTTCTTACAACGGAGATGTTTAAACAATTACATTTAATAATTATATATTTTGAAAAGATTAAAATATAATATATAAAAACTTAATGTACTGATATTTTTATTTATTTTACTTGAAAATAAGATTGTAAGTTTTATAATTATTTTTATTATAAAATGAAACTTTAATTTTTCTTTTATAAATAATCAATATTGAATCTTCGAATATAATAATATGGATCGAAATTTTGATATTAAAAAAAAAAACTCTCTGTAGATATATAAATAATAATAAATGAGAAAGTAATTATTACAAAATTAAAATTAAGGGTTATTACACTTGTACCACTAGGTTAAGGTTACTCAACTTTTGAAGTACGTGCATGCAGTCCCGTGAGTTGTTGGGGTTTACATATTAAGGATGAACAACCCCGTAATTGAGTTTAATAATCCCACAAAATTTCCACCATTCATATATTCATATCTATACCGCGAATCTCCATGCATCTTAAAAATAACTTTATGATATGATTTTTTTTAAAAGTAATTTATTATTAATTTTATTTTATTAAAATTTGTTAATAAATTATAAATGAATTTGTTTTTTATTTTTTTTATAAGTTATTCGTTACATAAAAAATCATTTCAAATAATTAGTAATATACCGTGACAAATTTTGTAAATGTCACAAGACTCCTACTTTTTTATAATTTTAAAAAATATTAATTTAAAATGATATGTTAATTTTTGTTAAAATTTTAAATATATGACATAAATGAAAATGTTTTCTTATATAAATTCTATTAAATATATATTATAAACGAAAAAATAATCTCATACTATCATGATATTAAACGAAAATATAAGTGAATTTTGTTATATAATAATACATCAAATAATGTATCTAATTATTTTATTATAATAAAAAAATTATATTATTAAAATATTAAATTGTATTAAAAATTCATAATTTATTATCTAAAATGATTTAATCAAAATATTTAATATTCTCATTATTTTTCAATTATCATTATTCTTTTCTTTTCATATTAATTCAAGGATTAAAGTGTTCATAATACAGTTTTCTTTTAAGTCGTCTTCAACTCAACTAATATATATTAATTTTAGTATAGCTATTTTACATTAATAAAAAAGTTACATTATTATTTAGTGACATTTTTTATTAACAAATAAATTATATATTAATAATGAGAAAAATACTTAATTTAAAAAATAAAAAAATAGAATGTGTAAACAAAATTTTATATGAAAAATATTACCAGAAATACTAAAAATTAATAAATTGAATAAAATAAATAAATAAAAATTAGTAGTATAATCAATTAAAATATAAAATGTAAAAGATATTAGAATTAACAGTCTCATTAAGTCTTAAATATGTAAAAAGAAAAAGTTGATCAGGAAGAAGGTAAGGAGAGTGTTTTGACGAGGGTGGACCGTGGAAAGCAAGAGTGTGTCAGATGCAGGCAGGGAGAAAGAGAAATGAAGGAAGCAAAGAACCCCTGATATCTACCCCTCCATTTTTGACCCCAACATCACATCAAATCAAACCCAAGAAAAAACCCTAGTCTTGAAGCCTCTTTTCACACACCGAAATCGTGAGAGAGAGAGAGAGAGAACACAACATTGGCAACTTTCCTTTTTTTTCATGCACATTGATAGCTCCGCTGTCCTCCATCTCCACCACACTCCAAAAAGATGCTCAAGATCCTCACTGACCCATCAACCCCAACTAGCTCAAACCCCAGAATTTAGCCGCACTCACTTCCCAAAATCCTTCCTTTCTGAATCCACCCATATGCCCCAACACCAAACACTTCCCATCTTCATCACTACTATTGATTACTATTAATGGGTGTTGAGAAAAAATGGCTCTTCACCCTCTTCACTGCAGCATTCCTCTCCCTCACCATTCTCTTGTTCTCTTCCTTCTCTTGCTTCACCTCCCCTATGCCCTTTCCCTCTATTGTTCACCATGGTCCTCATCACCCTCCTGCTTTTGCCTACTTCATATCTGGTGGCAACAGGGATGGTGACCAGATCTTCCGGTTGCTGCTGGCAGTCTATCACCCCAGGAACCGTTACCTGCTCCACCTGGGAATGGATGCCAGGGATGAGGAGAGGCAGAGGCTGGTCGCTGCCGCCATGTCGGTGCCGGCGATTCGTGCCTTCCGGAACGTGGATGTGGTGGGGAAGGCTGACTATGTGACCTACTTGGGGTCATCCAATGTGGCTGTCACTCTCAGGGCTGCTTCTGTGATGATGAAACTTGATGGGGGGTGGGACTGGTTTGTGACTTTGAGTGCGCGAGATTATCCCCTTGTCACCCAGGATGGTAATGCCAATACGGTAATTTCTGTTTTGGATCATGGTTTATTTGCACTGTGGCATTGCTTGTTTTGGGGAGTGAAGTGTTGTGGTTGTTCTTTTCTCTTAGTGGCTTGATGATGTTGATCATTAGAAAGTTTGTCTGAATTGTTTGTTGGTCTTCATTTGTTTTGTTTTGGTCCTAATTTTTGGACTCAAAGATGAAAAAACATTATTTCTAGGTGGTTGGTGGTACTTAATAAAATAATGTGTTGTTATGTAACCCTACATGAGTTGAGAGGACCCCAAGAAAGGGGAAATTAGTTTTGAGTTGAAAATGATGAAGAGGTTAAATGTAGAGGAAGCACAAATAGTGAGAGAGGAGTGTGTGTGGAGGTAGACGTAGTAGTAGACATGTGATCAAGGGGGGATTGGGGAAATTTTGTTGTGGTTTGATTCGTTTACTTGTGAATGATCTTTATTTTATACTCCACGAATGTTTTGATATCTTATATTTTTTGAAAGATGAAGAGATTGGTTTCAGCTGAATATGTTATATGTTCCACATATACTTAATATCTGTTTTTTGTTGCTGTAATCTCACAAGAGAGAAAGTTATATCTTCCAACTTGTTTATGATTTTATACATTGAAACATTAATCTTTGTTATAGTGATTTAATAAAAAATAGAGAGGGGACGGGTTTCTAATTTGAGTGATATACCTAGGCTTCCCTACAAAGTGGAACTCACACTAAAACTCTAATGTTGTCATGCAAATCATGAATATGGGTAACAAAAAACTTGGAAGAGTCCACAAGAATCAACGAAAAAGGCTGAGACACAGGATCCATAAGTTGGTGAGCTGAGCTCACGAGGCAGTGAATCATGGATACTATCAAATGGGCTCTTACTAGTAGAGTTATTAATATAACAATATAGACAAACTCATGAAGTTCCATTGAATGCGTTTTTGGAATTCAGGATTGATCGAAAACAAACATAAAATTAGACATAATGAACGTCCAAGATACAGGTCCTCATGACATGGATACAAATACTTTTAAATATATATTATATATGCAAACTAATGTACCCTGGTACCAGAGGCTCCTTGTTCCACTGAGGTATCAGGTTAATTGTACATAGTCTTCCCCTTGCAAATGCAAAGAGTCTGTTTTCGGATTTAAGCCCATGACCAACAAAAAATTTTCGTTGTGCTAGGGCTTGTACTTGTTATTGTATATTATATATTATCTGTAAATATATTATCAAATATAATTATGAGACTCATTTATAAAAGATTACAAGTGCTCTCATAAGCCATGCATAGAAAATTGATACAAACATCGCTACAACACAAAAGAAAGTCAGGAATATAGTGTGAAGACATGTGCAGTCAAAAGAGAATGACACCCAGAGCTAAACTGAGACTAAGTAGACAACCTAGGGATACTTTGTGTCTGTTTTCATGTCCAGTTGCATAAAAGTGTTGGTTAGGTGTGACTGGGTATGAGCCATCTCAGCTGTGTCTTGAACATGTCCAAGCCAACAGAAATTACTTTTTATTCAGACACAAGAACCATGGTTGAATCAAGCATTTTTCCAGTACGTTGAAGTATAAAACTACACATTTTCAAACCTCCCCAAGTTTCATTGGGAATTGATGAGGTCGTGTACAGTCCAGTGTTTCATGGTGAACAGGGTTACCTTCAAAACTTACCAGTGGTCATTCCACTCTTTTCCTTGTATCTCTCCATAGAATCTGTTGATAAAATATAGCTTATTATTTTGTTCATTTAGCTATGAGATTTGAGCCATCACCAACTCATCCATTGATGTTTCCTGCAATTTTTCTGATTGTTCAATCACTGCAAGCATTTGTAATGGTTTGCAGACATTATATTAGCATTCATCTTATTTATCTCTAGGATTTTGACTCTGGGCAATGAAACCAGTGGTTATTGATACCTTCTGTGCTGATAAAATCCATCTGGATATCTGCTTCTTTACTACCCTTGATTTGTAATCTTTTCCTGTATACACCTACAATCTCAACTGATCCATTCAATCGATATTGAGTAGCTGAACTTTGTTGGCAGCCCACCTGACTTAAGTCAGTGTCTAGTTTACACATCACTCTTGAGTTACCTATCGAAAAGTGTGGACTTTTTCTCCTCCCGCTTGACAATTTTAGCCATCACAGTTTCTTTCGTTTAATCCAATAATCATATACATTTGCTTTTCCATTTCACTGACCATCCTTTGCAACCATTACAAGCTTCATCTATAATACAAAGCAGAATACCAACCTCAGCCCACTCACTCCCCTAAAACCTATGCTCACCAGTGTTGCCTTCCCGTTATAATTTTTATCTCCTCTAAATGTCTTGGGTCTTGCAGAATTTTTTTCCTACGTTGTCATCCACTCTGCAAGTTTGGGCTCACCATTCCTATTTATCAGGAATCTAACATAAAATATTGGCGCAGAAGTTTTTGATAAAATACTAATCTCCTACACTTGAGGCCGGTGAATCTTGCACCCGTGCCCCTAGGTCTGGGGACAACTCTTCAGCTTATGATTACCCACTTGATTGGCAAGTGGTTGCATTCTATACGCTACTGATTATACTCTTTATGTGGTCTGACATAACCCTGTAAACAAACTTTGATGTACGGCAGATGTAAAAACATGTATTGGTTTTGCTTGTATATTATTGTTCCAATTCTCTGTCGTTATATTATTTAAAATGCTTTATATGACTGTAACGTTCTGAAATTTATTCATTGAATAATGCTATCCTATGCTTTTTTAAGGACAACTTATTGTTGATATTCTCAATTATCAATATATCTTTCTGCAGAATTTGCAACTTTCTAATCCATACACTTTTGTCTGTATCAGATCTTTCCCACGTTTTCTCTTCTGTTCAGAGGGACCTCAACTTCATTGATCACACAAGTGACCTTGGATGGAAAGAGTAATGAAAACTGCTGCTAATTTTATCTTCTTCATTGTGTACTGTGGTACATCTAAATTTTAGCTCTAGATCATATATTTATGTATTTTTACCCATGCAGAAAAGACAGGTTCCAGCCTATTGTAGTTGACCCAGGACTATATTTAGCTAGGAGAAGTCAGATTTTTCAAGCTACACAGAAGCGGGATACACCTGATGCATTCAACCTTTTCACAGGCAAATCTATTCTTTCATACACTGTCTAAGCTACTCAATCTATGACTTTGACAAATGAGTGTTGAATGTTTTCCTTTCCCAGCAGGTTCCCCATGGGTCATCTTGAGCCGATCCTTCCTGGAGTTTTGCATATTTGGCTGGGATAATTTACCTCGAACACTCCTGATGTATTTTACAAACGTCAAGTTATCCCAAGAAGGTTACTTTCACTCAGTCATTTGCAATGCACCAGAATTCAAGAACACAACAGTAAATGCTGACTTAAGATATATGATCTGGGACAATCCTCCAAAGATGGAGCCCCTCTTCCTTAATGTATCTGTTTATGACCAGATGGTAGAAAGTGGTGCTGCTTTTGCTAGACAGTTTGAAGTAGGTGACCCAGTTTTGGACATGATTGATAAAAAGATACTAAAGCGTGGACGTAATCGAGCTGTGCCTGGGGCATGGTGCTTGGGCCGGAGGAGCTGGTGGGTGGATCCATGCTCACAATGGGGTGAGGATGTGAATGTTCTGAAGCCTGGTCCTCAGGCTAAGAAGCTCGAGGATTCTGTTTCGAACCTTCTTGATGATTGGAGCTCACACACAAATCAGTGTGTTACTGCAGATGAAGAGATACAAGACTAGAAACATCTAAGAAAAGGTATGCATTGTCGTGCACCTCTATTCAGGACAAGTTGAATTTGTTATCAATTCAAGGCCCATTCTTTGGCACCAATGTAATTCAATTTTTGGTGAGGGGGTTGATGAGACTCCTCTCTCTTGGGGGTCATTGCGAGTCTATTGCAGAGTTGGAGTTGGGAAGGAAGTATGTTAAGATTTGGGGGCTTGATATTTCTGGTGGATCCTCAGATGTCTTCAACCCATTTTATTGATAATGTGAGCTTGTTCCCCCTGCATCAATATTATCATCATGTTGTATGTATTGTATGTTTCCTTCACCCTCATAGGGTTTTAGACTTTTAGAACAGAAAGTTAATTCTTTAGAAGATATGATTGTCATTTTTCAATCTCCCACTGTTTCCCCTTTCACCACTTGATATCTTGGAAACATTTGTTTGGCACCACGGATAATATGAAAGAAATTATTTGTATGAATATATAGAGAGAAACACAGATTCTGCAAACTCTCACCTGACAATATTGAAGTCCAGTAAATTTGTATTGACTATTGCTATTATGGGTATTGGGCATTGTCAGGCCATTGCTATTGCCGGTCGATTCTTCATTTCAAGCTGTTGATCAGATTTCAAAATCTGTGACATGTAAGATCATACGGAAAGCCTGCCCATTTCCTCCATCTTTGTCCATGTTCTTTGATTCTGAATAAATTTTAATTCTGATACCAGATGTAATCCAAATGCAACTAGTGTTTAGATTTTTGATACCAGATATTAAGACAGCGCATTTAATTTTATATGATAGACTGAAGTTGAGGATGCTGACTTTTGTCTGGACGGGCAAATCCCATAAGACTTTAATTGATTCGGAACCATATAAGAAATGTTATATGTTGTGTCACACTATGACTCTATTATTGTGAAAGGGAAGAAAGAAACTCTTTCATTGGTTAACACGAACTCAACATACTAGATAGGACTAATTAGTGTAATAGTCTTAGTTTGTGAACTAAATAAAAATGTGAAAGCATGGCGTAGAATTGTAATAAAAATTGTTTATCTCAAAGCAGTACGTATACAATTTTATCAGAAAATTATATATACCCAACAAATTTGAGTGTCAGTACGTGCTAATTTTTAGTCATATGGGTGTCAACACAAGAGAACTAATTTAGAGGTAAAAGCAGAGGAAGTTTATACAGATGATCTAATTTTAGAGGGAGCACTTAAACTCTACAAGGGGCCACTAAATTAATTGCTGCTGCCTGATCACTGCTGGTTGGTGCTTTTTGTCTGTTACTTCAGATTTTCTATACATGACTTTATCTGTTTCAATTTCATTTGATGAAATACTTACAAATTTATTTTATCTTGCTCATGATTTTCACCATAAGGCAGGTTCAAATAATCTATTTAGTCTTCACATTGCATCTTGATCAATTCCAAATCTAGAGTAACAGTTATGAAATTTTATTTTCCATCAAAGCATACCCAATCTCGTCACTTTATGATCATTCTTTAACTAAACTACATTGTATGAGACCAGTTGGGAACTAATCATCTGCAAACAACAAAGTCGCATTACCTCTCTTATGAAGATTTAACTTTCGTAAATATTAATAACAGTACGTTTTTCACTATTACAGAAGCTCCATTCATATCTGCAATAACAGAAGCACATTCAGTTCACGCCAAGTTCCATTTCATAAAAGATCAAATACACTGAGAACCTTTCTACTGCAAATGAATTCACCGAAAATTCCGTCGATTTAGCAAGAAAGCACTACAAAAGAACGCGCGTCCCCCCAATTTTGTGTCTTTGTAGATTATACCATTTAGTTGGTTCCTGAATCTATATCACTTTAAGTAATTACATAACCTTACGATCATTCTATAACTAAAATACATTCTGTAAACCATTTGGAAAGTTATAAAGAACAAAATTGCATTTGACTACTCTGATATAACTTCATAGAGATTAATAACAGTACGATCTTTATACTAACAACCACAGTGAACATTTCAATTAATTCACTGCTATATTGTAACAGAAGCGCATCTAAACCATTTCATGCGGCGCCAGTATACTTATCTACTCGAAATAAACTCACCAAGATCAAAGTCGTGTCAGCTAGAAAACACGTTGTAAAAAACAAGAGATAAAAGCAAAAAATGACAAAAAACAATTATGACCCAATTATCTAAAACGTCGAGAACAAAAACACCAAACTAACAAAGCTAATGAAAAACTGAGAAATGGTAATGCTGCGCAGAATTTCCCTCACCGTGGTGGTTGTCATCATCAAACTCAGAAGAGTGAGGAGACACTTCATCTTCACCATCATCTTCCGCAACCGAAACACGATACGTATCATGCTTTGCATGGTGCTTTCGTTTCCCATTGCGAACCGAAAGAACGTGTTGCACGCCATGAACCACGAGACAGTCACCACGAAACATGTCGGGAAAAACCACCCGCACTCCATTGAGCAACAAAGTGTGAGTCTTGCACTTGGTGACATTGAGAGCAAACCCTTTCTCGTAGGTACCAATCAACGTTCCGTCCCTCAGGGATGCAAGATCGGGCCAGAACATCTTGCAGGGGACGAGGTGGTGGCGAAGAAGGGTCGAGAGCTGAGTGAGGTTGTTTCGTGCGTGGCTTGCCACAGCCTCGTCAAGTGGGGCAAAGAGGGTAAGTGCACGGCGGTTGCAGGCGGCAGGGAACTGGAGGTCGAGGAGGGAGGCCATGAGGGAGAAGTGGTGGGAGCGAAGGAGGCGAGCCACCTGGGAGAGGCGGTTAGGGGGAGGAGGGGTGCAGGTGGTGGGGAGGTTTAGTTTTGGAGAGGGATGTAGGGGTGGGAGGTGGAAGTGGGGGTTGAAGAAGTTGGTAGTGGGGAAGATGGTGAGGTTGGGGTGATGGAAGATGGGGGATGGGGTGAGGGTGATGTTGTTGATAGAGATGGTGGTGGTGGGGGTGGGGGTGGTGATGGTGAGGGAGTGGTTGGGGAGTAGAGTAGGGATGCTGGCGCCGAAGGGGAGGGAGGTGAGGCTGTGGAGGGAGAAGGCGTGGGGGAGGAGGTGGTAGCGGAGGAGGGAGAGGGGAAGGTGGTGGGGGAGGCGGTGGAAGGCGGCGTCGGTGGGGGAGAAGATGGTGAAGGAGTGGTGGGGTTGGATGGTTTGGGAGGCTAGTTCCAGGTGCACGGCCATGCATTTGAATCCCGAGGAGGAGAGGATCTCCACGGCGTCGAGGAGGGTGGTGGAGGTGGCGGAGGAGAGAGAGAGGAGAAGGAGGAGGAGAGAGAGAGTGAGGAGGGTAGTGGTGGTGGTGGTGGTTGAAGCCATTCCTTGTTACTTTGTGAGCCAAGACAGAAAGGAGAAAGGAGGGAAGTGTTAGTTTTATTTTTCGCGGGAAAAGTCGTTAATTATGTTAAGTGGGTGTAAGATTGGGCTCGCTTTGGTAATTTGGGCCAAGATACTTTGCGGCCTAACACTACGATCACAGGGACTTACTACTTACACCACCTAATTTCCAAAGGAATCCCACCATGGCTCCATTGTTATCAAACTATTGAACTTTCAACCATGAGCCATTTGTTTATTTCTTTTATTAATTTCCTCTTATTTTTAAGAGAAACATAAAAGTCTCCACCTACTTCTTTTTCTTTTTATTTTATAAATTCATACGTTTGAAATTTTGAAAATTTATAAAGAATGGGGTATGCCCTTTTAACCAAATCCACAATAATTAATTTACCAATGTATAGTTGAAGAGCAAACAAAGACTTAGGATTTGGAATAACACTTAATATTCTTCTTGAATGCATATATCAGATGAGACACAAGTCTTCAAACTTAATGATCATGACAAATTATTGGATTAAAAGAAAATCAAAACTGAAATGAGAAATAATTACTATTGAATTAATTTGATTTCATATTATATATATAATTATTTCAAAAAAAGAAATTTCTTTATTTTATTTTCTCTTAACATAATAAATAATTGAGTAGAACAATGATTTGTAATTAATATAAAAATTTATAGTTCCATATTGACTAGGAAATTTGGAACCAAGTCAATTTTTGAATCAATGATGAAAACAAAAAAAATTGCCCAATTCCACGACATGAGTCTTGACTATGATAATGAAATTATTAAAGTTCATAGACAAGACAAATGGGTGCATAAGAAGCATATTTGCAAAACCAATCCTCATTTCGGAAGGTAGTGTATACAACTCATACTTGTAATCAATGATTTGAATTAAAATTTTAGGGATATTTATTCGTACTATTAACATGAGCTTTTCAAATGGCAAGTAGGTTTTATTTTAAAGGTAGAACCTTCTACAAGTTATTCGTATATTATTCTCAACCTAACAACTACAATTATTTATTTATTTTTATTAATAAAAAAGAGTGACATTTTGTGACCATCTATTCTTATATTCCAAAGTCAAGTCATCCTTTTAAATTCACAAGTCACCATCATTCGTAAATCATACGGCTTGTTTTAGAGAAAAGGGAAGAACGAAACATTAATAACCCTCCATATTTTATGTATATTATCTTTTATTTAAGTTTTTTTTTCTATAAACCAAAGAAAAAATAAATAAAAATTCATCTCACTTTCTATTTCTTTTCTTTATTTCTCTTTTCAATCCTTCTATAGTTTTCTTTCTTAAATTAAATTAGAGAAGAAAATATATAGTTTTCCTTCTTAAACTAAAGTAGAGAAAAAAAATATAACTCCAACTAGATTTTATTATGGGATATTTCATAATGTTCGTGGTTAATTATAAATTAAGGAATTTAAATTCAATAAATGATTTTATAATACATTATATACTCAATAATTTTTTTCAATATTTATTTCTTTTGTTCTCTCTTAGAAAAGATTCCGTTCATATTGATAATAAATAATCATCACAATGCTCACATATATAATTTTTTTATATATGAAATACTGTGTTAACATTTAGTAGTTTAATTTTTCTCTTTTACTTTCACCTACTTTCTCTATTTGTTAAATAAGATGAGTGTATAAATTCTTATCCATAAATCAAAGCTTTTAGACTGTGAAGGGGAACGTAGAAAAACTACGTTATAAGTTTGTTTGAATAATTTTTTCATAAACATTTATAAAAAATATTTAAAGATTAAAATTAACATATACATATTATATAATCTTCTCAAATAGTTTCTCTAGATTTTTATTATTTAATTTTGCGTATAAACTACGTCAAATTTATGAAATTTTTTGTTCTTAAAAGTGTTTATGAGACAAATCCTATCACGATATATTAAAATTAAAGTTATTTTAATATCTTTATTCTTCTCATCGTTCAAAAATCGAGAAAAAATAATTTTTATTGATTTTAATTCTCGTGATATTATTCTTTGAGTTAAAAATGCAATTACGGATAAAATTTAATAATGATGGAAAACCCGAGCAGAAATGAGATAAGATGGTGATTACAATACAGAGTCAGAATTAATAAGACTGAGTTGGGCATGACGTTAAGTAGAGAAGATAGTGGTTGGAGGGAAGAAAAGAATCTTACATGCAGAAGAAAATGAATTTGTGACATGAAACACTTTCTGAATTGTCAAACACACAAAGACAGTAGAAAATTAGAATGTTCACCAATGAAGGAATCACAAAGTTATTAGAACACAAGTCCTTCATCATGATGACTGGAGAGGTGAACGAAGCGAAAGTTTATTGTAAGTTCTTGAAATGATGAAAACAAATGGAAGATAAATTACTTTGAACATGAGTGACTGTGGCACTTCTTCCGAAGATACTTGTACCAAATGCCGAACAGTAAAATGAGTCCGACGACCCCAACGGAAACTCCGATGATGATGCCGAAGGTGGTGGAGGAGGAGGAGGATGAAGATGAATCGGAATCATCATCGGATGGTGAAAAAAACGACGTCGGTGGTGGAAATGTGGGGAAAGATGGTGTCCACGACCAAGGCTGAGGATTGGAAGGAGTGGCCGGTGGTGGAAAATAAGACATTTTTTTCAGTGACTTGACTTTTGGGAAGTTTCTCTCTATTCTTCTTGGTAGTATGACTTGGGTGAGGAAATTATTTTATAGGGAGAATCCTTTTTGAAGAAGCTTGGCTTCTTTTAAAACTTTTTATAGTCAAGTTGATGGTTGGTATGTAACATCAGAGAGGAAACCAATTAAAGTTTTCAATGAATTGTGTTTGTTTGTGGTGGGTAGTGTTGGTTGATGAATAATGAATTACATACGTCAGCAGTGCGGATCTTCTACTGAGCTTAAAGGCCTGGGTCATACTTTTTTGTGCATATGATTAATTTACGACGTTGACACTCCAAATTTAATATATTTATTTATATATTTATAATTTTATATAATTTATATTTTTTTAAATTTAATAATTATTTAATATATTTAAATATATATTTATAATTTGATTTTTTTAATATTTATTTATTATTTATTAATAATATTTTATTTGAGATTTAACATCTCATCTCAATAATTAGATTCCTATGAAAAAATTTTAAATATAAAATTAAATAAGTGATGTACAAGCACAATATTATCAATAATATTCTAAATCTAATTTGGAAAATCTGTGAATTTTAATTACGACATCTTAATTACATGAATTTATTCACTATATATATATATATATATATATATATATATGAATGAAATTGTTTTTAAATGTTATAATTTAAAATATCATGCTTTAAAACTCAAAAAAAGAAAAGAGAAGTCAACCCCAAAGAAAAATTAATAGAAGGGTTATGGAGTATTATGGAAGTAAAATGCTTAACCAAGTTTTAATAATGTGAGTAAACTTAAATTACACTTTAATTCAATTTTAATGAGCTTAGAATACCTGAAAATCATATTTTTATTTGTTCTAATTGGTTTATAATTTTTTATATTATTGAGATCATTATATATATACTTTTCTCTATGATATATCAAAATGTCTTTTAAAATAACGTATTATAATCCAAAACGGATTATACAATAACTATATTTTCATATCAAAGATGAGTTTGAAACAATTTCATGTATAGAACAGTGTTATGTTAGAGTATGGCAAGAAGGATTCTATTGATGAACATGAATAGTGGTGATTTACATGATAGAACATGCATCTGGGTTATCATCATCAAAGAGTCTCATAAGTTTCATCTCAGGAGATTTAGGGTCAGCCATAGCATCAGGGACATTTCTGACGAAACCGGAAGGAGCCTTGATGTCATAAGCCCCTTTGACATAAGGAAACGCCACTAAATTGTAGGGAACAAATGGCCAAATGTCAGCATTCTTTCCTGTGCTCCTCACTTCTTCTAGAACCTCCTCCGGATCCACATTACCTGTCACAGTTACCCTCTGTAGCTTTCGGTTCACATCGATCGATTCCACTCCTGAAACAAAAATCAAGTTAATTATACTTGGTTACATATCAGTGTTGTAAAACCACACAACTTTTTTTCATTTTCTTCTTCTTCTTTGGTTTGTCTATGTTATTTTAGAGTAGATTGGTTCGCAACTTTCAACATTATAGATTTGCCAAAATCTGACTTTCATTTTTGGTCCCCCTTGTTGCATCTTTTTATTGGAGTTGGGTTCAATTTAGTTATACTTGCACAACCTAAAATTCAGATAATGTCGATTGGAAGTTGCATAGAAGAAGAATGATAGATTGTTTGACTATTGAACACATACAAAAATGAAAAAAAATGATCCGAAGCAACATCTAATAATTAACTAGTATATTTCATGACGAAGCAGGTTTGACCTTAATATTAATTACTGCCATAGATACCGTTCTTGCATGTGCTTGTAATAGTAGTGAATATATATCATAACTTGTTATGTAGTTGACTTGACATTTAAAGGGAATACATTTATTTCATTTAATTATAGGAACAATTAAAGTTCCATTAGACAAAATTTATAGTTTAATTGAATTGGAAGAGAAAAATAAAATAATTACCAAAGTATTTATCTCTTTATTCTTCCCTAATGATTGCTTAGTGGTTGATTATTACCATATTCTTTATTCAAGAGAAAAAAAAAAATTGAATCTATTATTCTGCTACCTCTGTGTTACTGTGTGATTAATATGCATTTTGGATACTCGTGAATATAGTGAGAAATTGTATCTATATAACTTTTGTTATAAGAATACATAAAATAAAGAAAAAAGGCAAGTGTATGATAAAAAAAATGAGTTTGATGAAGAAAAATAATATTATTGAAAATGTTGTAAAAAAGTATTGAATCTATAGAAAATATAATATCTCTTGTATATAACAGAGTTGCTTTCAGTGATACTTGATTAGGTTAATTTGTTCAATTCACAAAGTTTTCTCAAATATCAGCAAAACAAACACATATATGGCGGTCAAAGTGATATACTAATGAACAGGCAATAGAAAAGAGATAATGAAGAGAGGTTTATGTGAACCTTCCAAGTCTTCCACTGCATGTTTAACCTTTCGAGCACAACCTTCACAGTCCATCTTCACCCTGAGATTAACTGTCTATATCATACATAAACAAAATCAATTTCTTTGTTGATTAAATACATAGAAGAAATAGAGAAGCCAAGGGTTAACATATGTAGTTACAGATTGAGGCACATGTAAAATGAAAGAAATTAAAACCTTTTTGGGCACAAGTTTCTCCTTTGGTTTGGTACAAGAAGTGAAAAGATGTGGAAGACTGTCCAAAAACCCCATTTGTGTAAGCTAGGAAAATAAGCCAAGAAAAATAAGAGAGAACTTGGATATGAAATTTAGTTATTGTTTATGCTCTTCAAGATGTGCTTGGTTATGATTTAGTCCAATCTTGAGACATATATATAGTAGTACATTGCAGTTTCTTGAATCCATCTGATATTTTGATCTTCAAATTTGTCATTAATTTATTGTTACTTGCACATCAATCTATTGATATGTATTAGGCTCTCATCATCAGGTACTTAATTACTGCGAAACCTCTTACAATATATTATTTCAAAAGGATTGACTTGACTTCATAGTGTTGGTTGTTGTTTTGGTCCTGGTAGTTATTTTCGCGATAGATATTAGTTTTTTGAATCAACTAACCACTTCAACTGAATATTTTTTATTTTAATTAAATAAAATTTGTAATCCAATAAATTACTGGGTTTATTTTTTATTTATTATTTGTGCAACACCAGCCCAAAAGGAAGCAACATTCAAAGTAGAATTCGAGATCTTCATTTATACTCGTCCGTTAGCCAAGTTAATTCTACTAGAATTTTCAAATTCTCAAGCCATTTTATGCGAGATGGTGAAGTAGAATTAAGGGGCATGTAGCATGAACTCACTAAGCTGATTTCTAAATAGGCACGAGGTGAGATTTTTTTTCACTACCATGTTATTAAATTTATAATTCTGAAATAATATCATTCTATTAATATTTACATGACTAATATATTTTAAAATTTATAATTCAAAAATAACATTATTTTATTAATATTTATCTAATTAGCACCATTTTTATATATATGATTAGAATTTGAATAGCAGGATTTGACCTTACTAATTAATATAATTTTTAAAATAAAATAATATTTATTAAATATAATAAGTAATATATATATATATATATATTTTATATAAAATAAATATATAAATATATACATATATTTAAATTTATTTATATAATTATATTATTAATATATTTTTATAAATATAGTAAAAATATATTAAAATATAATAAAAATATTTATATATTTCTATAAAAAAATATTATTTGTACTTATTAAAATTATTTTATATTAAAAATATATTTAAATAATATATATAATTTATTTATGTAAAAAATTTATATAGAAAGATATAAATATATATTTATTAAATTTTATTATATTTATAAAAATATAAATAAATATTAAAAAATATATATTTATATTTAATTATTATATTTAATAAATATTATTTTATTTTTAAAATTATATTAATTAGTGAGGTTGGAATTTAGCCTCCTAAGAATCGAATTCCAACTGTGTAAGAAAATTGTGTTAGTCGGGTAAATATTGATAGAATGATATTATTTTTGAATTATAAATTTAATAGGATGCTAATGAAGAAAAAAAACCTGGAAATGTTTGATTTTTTATAAAAGTGTGCTACTCATTTAAATATTACATACAGTATGCTATATATAAAAATTTATGTTAAAATAATGTTAAACGGGGAAAAAAAATTACATGAGCTGAATCTTAGACAAGTTTGATTCATTTCAACCTTACAAAATTCTAAATAGAGGCAAAGTATTTGTCTTTCTTTAAGTTCTCATAATTTTTGTGGGTTTTGGTATGTACTCCACTTGCATGGTTTCTTATTTTTAATATATGTTTAAGATTTACTATACTTGATTGAGTTTCCATTAAAAAATTATAGTCCGAAACTCACAAGAAAATTTGTCTTTCCTATCTGTGTACGTTTTCTGTATTCGCCTCAAGTTCTCTTTGTTGGACTTTCTCCTGATTACAACTTCCATACCATGAAATAGTGGCTACCAATGTTACATATCTTGGGTCGCAAGAGACAACCTAGACAATAGATATCTTGGGAAATATAATTAATAGGTTAGATTCGCAATTCCAACTAAATCCATCGAATTTTCCTTTCAAATCCATGCATAAAGGCCATGTTTTGTCTATTATCGCTTTTACACGTTTGTCAGATTAATTGTTTCAAAAGTAAAAACTTAACAGTGACAGAATGATATCATGGACAATCAACATTTCAATAATAAATGTTGAAGGAATATGAAAAGATAAAAAATAAAAAAATGTAAAAATATAAAATATTTTCTTATTCAATATATTAATTATTTGTTTTAATACTTATTAAAAAATATTAAATAAAATATAAAAATTATAAATATATTAACCACCATTAAATTGAGGAAAACAAAATAATAAATATACAAAGAGGGTACAAAATTGTGAGTATAGATAGTTTAAGAGCAAGTTGACATAAAAGTGCAATGTGTGGAAAGAAGATTGTCAACCATAGGGAAGTAAGAATCAAGCCCAGGAAATAATGGTTAACCTTTTCTAATAATGTAACTGTTACAAAATGTAGAGTTATATAAAATATGGCATTTCGCTACGTCCATGTTTTCACTTAATAATTTACAAGACGTCAAGAATAAACTACAGACCTTCCAGCCACCTTTCAAAGGCACCCCTAAAAAAACGTACAAAATATAAAAGGAGTAGGAGGGAGAAAAACTAGGACATTTCAATATAGAAATATCCAAGAACAGATTCAAAGATCAATCAGCAGCATTTAATCAAAGGCTAAACTACAGTTCAGTTTGCCAGTCAACTGGCAAAGGAACGTCTTCTAGTCATGGAGGCTCTTATATTACTAGCCTTGAGCAGTAGCAAGAGCTTCCTCAGGTTCACAATCCGTTGCTGAGATCAATGAAGCAGACTGAATCTTTCCAGCATGATCAAGTCGCATCAAAATAACTCCCCTGACATAAATTCACCAAACATACATTAAAGAAACAATCCACTAGCAGGTATAAAATGATCGCCATGATGTCAGTACATTTTAAGTTTCAACCAAGATTTAAAAGAAAATTGAGGGCAGTCTGGTGCAATAAAGATCCTGCTATGGGGGATATGTCACCAGAAGGACTATATCCACTGCCATTAATTTCACAACGTAGCATATAATAGGTCCAATGAATATAACATCTGTTTTATAGAAATAAAAAAAGATTGTCCAATAACCTACTTGCAACAACAGATACATTAAAATAAAACATTTATCGAAAATAGACTAAGGAGCCAGACAGAAAAGGAAATAGCAAATATATCAGCTCCATTCAGTAATCTTTGACTAAGCACTGATACTTCATAATAGAATACAATATAATCTAAAAAGGGTCAAAATTCCTATTAATAGATATAAAGTGTCCAGGCAATCGAATCAGTCAGAAAAAGGAAATAATATATACAAAGGGATTCTGACAAACAAAACTGTCTCAAAAAGGAATCATATTCAGGCAACAAAACAACAAGGCCACGGGGGCATTGTTTTGTTTGAGTTTATATCCTCTATAAGATATCCTCTATAAGATTAATTAAGGTTATTGTAGTATTCTCTCTAACACAAAGTCATGAGCTTCTAGCCATAATGAATCGGAAATCAAATAAGTAGCAAATAAGCAAATAGGTCACAATTCAGTTTTACCTTGCAAATCGAGATTGTATTGAAATATCCCGAACCTTAATTCTGTTGACCGTGCCACTTTGGCTTACAAGAACCACTTGTTCATCACTTTCACCATCCTCTGTTAGAGATAATGATATTATACAATGATATAAACCAACATATAATAACTAAAACAATTTTATACAGTAGCAAAATTAATACAGATAATTATCAGAACAGTAACTGAAGATATCTCTGTCGAACTAATCATAGCATTTAAAAAATACCTGCTAATGAGAATCCTACCACGAAAACAGCAGCCAAGCGATCCTCTGCAGAAAACTGAAGACACAGGACAGAATGACAACATTTAAATGAAAGAAGCACATCTATTATTGCAAAGAGAGAGACTTTTCTAACATTTAAAATATACCTTGTATCCTACCAAACCAACTCGATTCAAAGATGATACACGGAAACTGCTCAAAGGAACACGCTTTCCATGACCATTTTCAGACACGAACAACAACCATGGGCCTTTATGGCCCTTTCCACTGGGAATTTAGCAAATAAATATATTAATGACATATCTGATAAACTGCTCACATAATGCCTTCACAAGACAAAAAGTCATCAAAATGTCAAAACACTTATTGTCTGTACATCTGGGGTCATGTTTGAGGGCAAAAGACAGAATACACGTATTTGCAATATCTTAAATTATAATCTATAGATTAAAATATCATAAAGGACTAAAATCACAATGAATAAAGAAATAGATCTCTCAACCTTTTTTAGTCAAATTTATCTGAACCATTTTTAGTTAAATATATAAGAGGCCTATTCAAGCCAACTAGAAATCTCAATAATTTAAAATGTTTAAACCTTCCAGGGAACTCCAAATTGGAGGGTTGTAGTTAGTAACATTAATATTATTGTACGGGGAAAATCCCAATGTATGTTCAAGGCATTAAAAAAAATACCAATATTATGGTAGGGACTTGGGTATTGTGGGGTGCCTAAGAGCATCGCCAACCAACAACTCCATCTAGGATTCTCTAATACTTCTAAAATAATATTTCACACTTCCCTATCATGCCACATCTTCCTTCATTTAAATAATAATTTTTACCTATGCTGACACATTTTGCAGTGATAGAACCGAATGTTGAAGCTAGCAACTCCCATTTAAAGAGAACTCCACCGAATTTCTCTCCAATAAGCTAACAAGTTTCTTTTACTGTGTTTATCAGGAAAAAAACTCCCTTTGGAATTGCCCTAAGTCCAACATTGAGTAGTATAAGATACTTGGTGAAGTATAGGTAATTGGTTTTACCCCCTTAATTGCTACCTTTTCAGGGTGGGTTAACCAAGTGCTTAGGTGCTTCCTACTACTAAAACAAATTTCAGAAAAGAAGCATTCACAAAACAAGAAGACACCAATATTTTATTTGTTGAACTCTAGAAGTATTCTTCAAGAAAACATGGTAGTTATAACCAGGCATGAAAATGATTCTTATACAATTACACAGTTCTAGGAGAATGCTCTCATTCAGATCACACTTGACACCAGACATATGAACAAAATAAAGAATTGAAACATAATTCTGACAGCCATCAAATCACTAATATCAAATTCAGCATTCCAAACTTCATCACTACCTGCTCTCAGGAAATTTTGACAAAGTTTCCAAGTTGTTCCACATAGCCGCTGGTATAATGTCCACACTGGCCATACTATCCCCATTTTTGAGTCTCATTGCAAGTGAACCCCGCGTATTTCTACTTAGTGTGCGAATCTGCAAGGCAGTGAAAATTGAGATGATGGTTGAGATTGTGAAGAGCTGCTCACAAGATCGTAAATTATAAGATTGTAGCACAGATTGTCAATTATACTCCCAATATGATATATATATTTATGTATATATACACACAAACCCATGCAAATAACATTAATAATCATAAAAATCAGTCACAGTTTCACACTTTTTAATAATTTATCAAACTTAAATTCATTGTAAATCATAAAAAATCATGTCAATCAAGTCATAACTCGGGAGTGATAAACAAAACAACTTTGAGACTTAATTACTTAAGTGTAAGTAGGCTAAATAAAATACCAAATTTTAAAAGACAAAGAACGCTTAGAAGGCTAAACAAATGTTTACGTCAAAATCTTTGAGAGATTCGCAATTTAATACCTCTCCAAAACCCACCGAAACTTACTGGGGTGGGAAGTTTACACCTCTTACCAGCTATTTACTTGAGAGTACCACCAAATAGAGCCGTAAGTCCTCACACAACATCAAAATTTATAGCAGAAAAAGACATCACTTCATTGCAGTAAAGTTCAATGCATTTATTTTCAATGAATTCTTCAAATATATACTTATAGATTTATGTATAATAATGGTCAGCAACTTTAACTAGAGAATAGAAATAATAATGGTCAGCAACTTGCCTTACTGCATTGGCACAGCATGACCATTCCATTGTGTGAAGCCATGGCCACAAAGTCATCATGTGTGCAAAGACGGACCCATTTCAGTTCATCACCAGGAACCTTTAAATTTAAACAGTATGCAATGAATAACAATTAGGAAAAGATGTAAACAGTAATCTAACGGGACAATAGGAGGATGTAGTAATTTAAAAAGAGGGAATTCCAACTAGGGAACAAACCAACTGAATAGCAATGATTCCGGTAGACCTGATGGATGAAAACAAGTTCAAGGATACTCTCTTGATATAGCCTTGCATTGTTAGCATCAGCAAAAACTGATCCTCCGCAAACTCGCTCACAGGAATAATGGATGTTATTCTTTCACCATCAGATAAAGATAAAATCTGATCATATGAAACATAAAGAAAAAAATTTGTTACTTTGCAACTCTTGTTAAAAATTAAAAGTGCAGACCTACAAGTGAATTTTATACATAAAATTTAAAAAATATAACTAAAAATATCAAACCCATGTTTTAAACGAAAGCCTTGGTGCAACAGATTAGAGTATGTCATGTCACTAGGAGATCATGTATGCAAGTTGTGAAATTAGTCTCTTGCAATAGAACCCATAATGGGTCAAAGCCTTTCCCAGATCCTACAGTTGCTTGAAATTCTAGCACCAGCTTAAGTATTTCGTTCAAAACCAATTTCTTTGTCCATTTCTCTCCATACATAACTCCATTAAATTTTATCGTCTCTATTAGAGTAGATTAGACAGGGGAAGTTCTCAACTACATCTTTGTTAGATGTTAGTTGGCAGCTATATTACTGATGCCAGCTGTCAGCAACTGTCTTGTAACTACCTATACATGATGTAAAATACAGTTTATACTCCTTGATAATTAGTTCTCTTCCATTTTGTCTGAACGTTTTCTATATTCTAACCTTCAAATTCTTTTATTGCACTCTTCAAGGTGCACATGTGTCAATTAGACATGCATAACAATATATGCAAGGTTAATAACATAATGCACAGCCAAATATCTTTCAAGATATGTACTACACAGTTATCACTAGATTCTTACCCCCAAAATGTTATCTTTCACTATATAGATTAATTTCATAAAAATTCTAAGATAAAAATAGTTTGTAATTGTATTTCATTTAAATACTTTATTTTAATATTCTTAACCCATTTTTCAAAAGATGACAAATTAATATATATATATATATATATATATATATATATATATATATATATATATATATATATATATATTGAAAGTCCCACATCGTTTGCCTCATGTCATTTAGTATAGTTTAAATTCATGTTAGACTATTTCACATATTGTCAATTGGTTTTATGTTTGAATCTTAACAATTTATATATATATAAAGTGAAGACGGCTAGGCCTTATTATTTCTATTATAATACGTTCTGTACAAACCTTCAGTTGCATGACTATAGGCAATGCTCAGATCTGGAAAGAACATGCATGTGTAGAAAAAGAGAAAGGAAAAAGAAATACATGAACAAGTGGCGTTCCAGCAGCAGTCCTGCTGCATTCAGGAATTTTGTAGGCACGAGCCGAGTATACTGTTCCCTTATCACTGAAATTTTCACATGCCATGCCATATTCAAAGTATCTAGATCAGCTGCAATACCCTCTAGAAAAAGGTGAATGCCAAACCAAAACTAACTCCAGGTTCTACAAAAATCATGATAAAATCTAGCGTCCAAACATTTTTCATAATTATATTAATAGAAATACTACTAGTAGCAACACATGCTTTCAGATTCCAAAATAAAGTTGAGGAAATTCCATGCTGACAGCCCTAATAATACAGAGTGGATCAAGCTTATTTTGTGGGATCAACATGGGATTTTACCTATTAATGAAGAGTTTAAAAGTGTACTGTAAGAGCACCCCTCACTGCATATGGTATGACAATGATATGAAACATGCGTTCAAGCAATTTATCCTAAAGGATTGGACTTTCCGTACAAGACTCACTGAGTTTCTAGAGTACAGATCTATTGAAACAAAATATAAAAAAAAAAAAAAATTATTCAAGATTCCACATGGTCATTGTTCAAGCATTAAACACTGCAGTTTAAAAAATTATAAGAATAGCAAAATGGGCCGCCCACTTAGCCCAGCTGACAGTAAGCACATCATCTGAATATTCTTTAAAGTCTTGGTTAATTAATGCCTGTAGTTGGATTAAAAGTTTACAAGTTAAATTACTTAATTTGTAAGCGTTCATGACTTAAATTGCAATCTTATTGCACATTTTAATCCTTCAAATAACACAATATAAAAATTATAATCCTTTTTATTTTTATTTTAAAAAATTAATTTTAATATTTTACATATAATATAAAAATTAAAAAAGATGTAAATGAGCTGTCAAGTCCGCTTGCTTCGTCCTGCCTATGGCCCATTGGACTAGATGGGATAGACTGAATATATCCCTTTTCCCCGCAAAATTGACATACCTATTTTATCATCTCTAAAATGTCCAATATCAATTCTTCTGAGACAAAAAATTACCTGAAATATAGAACATGATCATGTGCCCGACAAACAAGAAAATCAGACATTGAATCATTCACTCTTAGTTTTCCTACAGATTTTCCTATTGTTCCCCGATTTTGTAGGTTAAAAGTGCTTGGCTTCATCCGTTTCAGATAACCTTTTTCACTAAGTGCCTGAAAGTAATACAGTATCATTAATAAAACAATTAGTAAAATACCTATGATTGAAAAAAAGTGCCACATACCAATAACATATCTTCATTTGGAATAACATCAATGTCTTCAAGCTGACCATTATCAGTGTCCTCCAACATTGAACGTCTTGGATTGGCAAACTTATTCTTCAATTCAATTGCTTCTTGTTCTATAAGCTAAAAATACAAGAAAGAGGTCACACAGGACATCCCAAAAGAGAAAAATATTAGTATTAATAGCTTCTCGAATAATTCACAAAATAGCTTATCCAGTAAACAAAATTTACGCTATAACAAAACACAGACAATCCAAATAAAACTTGTGCTTGGAGTTTGTTATAAACTATTTATCACATTTTTAGCAATATTAAGGGTCTTGTCGTTAGTCACATGTATTTATCCACACAATTAGTGTCCTTAAAGTTAAAACCATTGTTAAAAGTGGCAACATTCGTTGAATAGGAATAACCAAATCCAGTAAATATAGCTAGCAAACTTGTACGAATAAATGTACTTATATGAGGACCCACTGCCTACAGTGAATTTTCTGTGGTAAGTAGGGTAACCATGCTTTACATCTTATTTAGCCACCCAACTAGTGCCTCATTGTCATTCTTGACATAATATAACTTCAAACATTGCCATACAAATAGGTGTTACAAGCATAGTTGTTACGCATGCAATTTGGTTAGTACTGGTGTACTAACCCCCTTATAGATGAGGGTGGGCACTTGCACCCCTCATTCTCTTATTATTATAAAAAAAATATTATTTTTTGTTTTTTAAACCCCTAATATTGACTCCACTATTAAGTAAGATTCTTATATTGATACAACAATATAGAAAATTTTATATTATATAATAATATATTGTTTATTATTTTTTAAATAGGTTGCCGCCAGTACAGGTTCTAAGATCTACCACCGGGTGGGCTTATAGTTCAATTAGTTTTATTTTCTTCACTAAGCAATAGAGATTTCAAGAGAGCTAACCACATTATGAACGACTGAAACTATACCTCGAGTATATTTTTCCGGCTGGACAGCAGATCCTCTAACTTGGAAATTTGTTCCATCAAAGATTTACTTTCAGCCAGAAAGTTTCCACTCTGCACCACCAAAACTTATAATTCTACTTTGCTCTTACCAAATATGTATTAGCTATTCAAGTGTAGTTATAGGACTCATTATAATGAACCTCACGAAGGGTCAGTCTTCTTAGGCTAATGTCCAAAAGAGCTTCAGCTTGTTTCTCAGAAAGACTGAATGCTGCAAAGAGATAATACATCCCACATTAAATAGCCGAAGATAACGGATTTCAAGCAATGTTTACATGGATTTCATTTCAATAACAAGTAGAACTCTTCAGAAGATAGGGATTTTAAATGATAAGTTTCCAACTAATCAACCTGTATAAAAGCATTCTCTTCTTCATATAATGTCAGGGAAGAAATTCATAATCACAAAAAGAAATACAATCAACTTAAAAAGAAGTTTACCATTGCGTAAACCAACTGCTGCAGCAGAGTTACTTGAAGCTTCACGTATTATGCGAATCACCCCATCCAGATTATCAAACCCAATAAGAATACCCTGAGTTTGTTCAGACATAAGCTTACAGCAAAAAAAAAATCTATATATATATATATATATATATATATATATATATATATATATATATATATATATATATATATATATATATAAAAACTAAACTACAATAATTACTCTCATAATTTCATTCAATCCTCAAGTATAAAATTTTCCACATCCATTTACATTTTTCTTTTTTTCTTCTCTTTTTATAAACGAATTTATTTTCACTAAAACATTCACTATAACCACTGAATAACAAACACTATTTATATTGAATCTAAACACACTTAATATATACAATCTAGAAAAAACATAAATTGTTTCAACGATTGGAGAGATTACACAAAAGTCACCTTACTAAGGTAATCAGATAGCTATATGAAGCCTCACAAAGCCATTGCTAACTATAGTAGCATAACTACAGTTACTGAAGCCCACATGGTAAATAGAACTGTCTGTAACAGAGCTAGTTAAAACTTTCCTAACAGAAAAAGCAGTAGACGAGTAATGCGCACTCCAATAAAGGATAATGGAAACATGTTAAAAAGTGGCGACAACTGATTGAGGTGGCAGATTTCTCAGACAGCCATAATAATATTAAAACGCCATTGGAAGAGAACCATGGACAAGCCCAATGAACAGTAATGTCACCATTCACTAAGCTAAAAGCATAAGTTCATCAACACATTTCAAGGTAAAAGTAGCAAGTATCACTATCAACATAGTAAGCAGTGATGCTGAACTGTTAACCTAATTTTCCAAGTTCATTTATTCCAAATCCAGAGATAAGAAAAAGCCCTATCTCTAACCACCAATGAAAATAAATCTATTAAAAAAAAAAAAGATCTCCTGACATGTTCTGAATTTGATTGCATGATTAATGAAAAATTGATAATTCTATCAACATGGGAGACTGTCTCTGCCACAACAACACTATTTTGCTTTGGTTCTTTGACTCAAATTTTCTATCAAGAAAAGGTAGATATTTCTATTAACAAGGGATAATGTATTATTTGTGAAATTTAATGAAAATGCAGGAAGGTGAGAGCAATGCACCCATAACATATTAAAAACAATTGTACAAGATTTATTTTCTCCTTCTCTGTAACTAACCTATGCTCCTTTCTTATGTTCTCTCCTAATTAAAATTAAACTTTAGTCTTCAGCCACAGGTGTACTAAAACATCCATGGGCAATACAGATGGTAATCATATAACTCGAGCTTAAATGCTCCACTGTGATGTGATATAGTAGAAATGTATGTTAAAAAAGCACAAGGAGTTCAAACCTGTTATTAACTACAATAAGAACGTAAGAAACAAAATATGCTTGAACATGGGAAATACAACTTTGGTTTTGTACTGGTTTTACAGCTATCACAACTTGATATTCAAAAACAGAGAAAAAGTGTTTTTAGAGGGCTTGAAGAACCCCTCTCATAGTTCTCTATTTGTATAGATAAAAACTGATACAATAGGGAGATTACATTAAATGCACAGTCCTAGATTACTCCTCAGAACTAGGTGCAGAGATTATCTAACACTCAACCCCCTGCAGAGATTATCTAACACTCAACCTCCTACCTTAGGTATAATGATTACATATATTTTCTAATTTATTCCAACACTCCCCCTCAAGCTGGAGCATACAAGTTGTATGTACCAAGCTTGGAACAAATGAACTCAATCTGAGGTCCCCTTAAGGGCTTGGTAAACACATCTGCGAGTTGGTCATTTGATCCAACAAACTCGGTACATATTTCTTTTGTCAACAACTTTTCACGAACAAAGTGACAATCAATTTCTATATGTTTAGTTCTCTCGTGAAATACGGGATTTGATACAATGTGGAGAGCAACTTGATTATCACAATACATCTTCATAGTCTGGATATCACAGAAGTTAAGCTCTTGAATGAACTGCTTCACCCATATAAGTTCACAAGTTAGTGACGCCATTGCCCTATATTCGGCTTCAGCTGTCGATCAAGCCACTACATTCTGTTTCTTACTTTTCCATGAAATAATGTTTCCTCCAAGGAAGACACAATATCCAGCGGTAGACCGTCTATCAACAAGTGAACCTGCCCAATCTGCTTCACAGTACCCAGTGACCTGAATGCTTCCTTTATCTTCATATAACAATCCTTGTCCGGGAGCCTTTTTAAGGTACCTTAGAATGCGGATGATAGCATTCCAATGACCAACACATGGAGCCTGCATGAACTGACTAACCACTCCAACAACAAAAGATAGATCAGGCCTTGTAATAGTGAGATAAATCAGTTTTCCGACCAGCCTCCTATATCTCTCTGGATTAGAGAATACTTCACCTTCTTCTGTTGTTAATTTCTTATTTGGGTCCATAGGACTCTCTACAGGTTTACAGTCAATCATACCTGTTTCTTGTAATATATCAAGAGCATATTTTCTCTGAGAGATTACAACTCCATCTTTTGATTGAGCTACTTCAATGCCCAAGAAGTATTTTAGGCTTCCCAAATCCTTGGTTTGAAAATGTCTGCACAAGTACTCCTTCAGTTGAGATATTCCAATAGTATCATTTCCTGTAATGACTATATCATCAACATATACTATTAAGTAAACACATTTACCCAAAGATGTATGACAATAAAAGACTGAATGATCTGCTTCATTGCATTTTAGCCCAAATTTTTGAACAATGGAGCTAAATTTTCCAAACCAAGCATGTGGTGATTGCTTGAGGCCATATAGAGAACGATGTAATTTGCATACTAGTTCAGACTCCCCCTGAGCAACAAACCCAGGAGGTTGCTCCATGTAAATTTCGTCCTCAAGATCACCATGTAGGAAGGCATTTTTGATATCTAATTGATGAAGTGGCCAGTGACGAATGACAGTCATTGCGAAAAACAAACGAATAGTGGTCATCTTGGCCACGGGAGAGAAAGTGTCACAATAATCAAGGCCATAAACCTGAGTGTACCCTTTTGCAACTAAACGAGCCTTGAGCCGATCAAATGCACCATCAGGGCCGATTTTAACAGCATATATCCAGCGGCAACCAACTGCCTTTTTGCCCGGTGGAAAGGGCACGAACTCCCAAGTAGCATTATGGTCAAGAGCCTGCATTTCTGCAATCATGGCTTGTCGCCATCCAGGGTGATCAAGTGCTTCTTCTACATTTCTTGGAATAGCAATAGAAGATACTGAGGATAAAAGGGAACAATAGGAAGGCGACAACCTGTGATAGCTAAGAAAATTATAAATAGGATGTGGGTTTCGAGTGGAACGAGTACCTTTTCTCAGAGCAATGGGCCATCCTGAATCACCTCCACCAGGAGTCATGGTAGGAAACAATGTTGGAGAAGAATTTAAAGTGGGGGATTCACCCTCGTCTTGGAGAACAGGACTAGCCATCGAGGTCCTATGATTGACAACATCAATTTGAGGGGAGGATGGTTCAGGAAGACTTGGATCACTACGGAGATCGATAGAGACATTGGAAATATTAGACTCAACTACTGGAATGGGAAGAACCTGTTGTATGACATGAACATCTTGAACAGAAGGAGAAAAGTAAGGAGTCTGTTCAAAAATTGTAACATTGGCAGACATGTAGTACTTCTTGGTTTCAGGAGAGTAACACCAATACCCTTTTTGAAAGCGGGAATAGCCCAAGAAGACACATTTGATAGCACGAGCAGAAAGCTTGTCTAACCCGGGAGACATATCATGAACAAAACATACACAACCAAAAACTCGAGGAGAGGAGTGAAAGAGAGGATTATTTGGAAATAGAATGGAGAAAGGGATCTTATTACTGAGAGAGGAAGATGGCATCCTGTTAATAAGAAAACATGCAGTTAAGATGGCATCCCCCCAGTGATGGACAGGAATATGAGCACCTAGCAAAAGAGTACATGCAGTTTCAATCAAATGTCTATTTTTTGAAAGAGTACATACAGTTTCAATCAAATGTCTATTTTTTCTTTCTGCTATACCATTTTGCTGTGGTGTATGAGGACAGGTGGACTGATGCAATATTCCATGTGAACTCAAAACAGCAGAAAAGGTGGATGAGAAGTACTCTTTAGCATTGTCACTTCTTAAAATTTTGATTACTTGACTAAATTGATTCTTGATTTCATTCAAAAAGGATGTAAAGATGGGTAACAATTTAGAGCGATCTTTCATAAGATAAACCCAAGTACATCGTGAATATTCATCAATGAATGTAACAAAATACCGAAAACCAAAAGATGAGATGCAACTGGGTCCCCAAATATCAGAATGGATAATAGAGAAACTGGAAGTAAACTTTGATTGAGACCGTTTAGGAAAGGTAGATCTAACATGTTTCCCTAGTTGACATGACTCACATTCTAAGGTCTGGAGACCACTAAGTTCAAGACATATTCTTTTTAATTTTGACAAATGAGGATGGCCAAGCCGATCATGTAACATTTTAGGGCTCGGAGTAGCAACACAGGACACACGTGGACGAGGGCTAAAAAGGTATAATCCTCCAGCTTCATATCCTTCTCCAATCCATCTCCCCGAACCATGCTCCTGTATAACAAAAGATTTGTTATCGAAGGTTATTGAACAATTTAAGGTTTTGGTTAACTGACTTAAGGAAATTAAATTGAAAGGACAATTAGGAATAAAAAGGACAGATTTTAGGCTTATGGAGGGAGATAAGGAAACTTGGCCCACTCCCTTTGAGGAAGCTTTAGAGCCATCTACAAGGGTTATGAAATGTTGTTTTTCTTGAAAGGAAATAGTTGAGAACAAGGAGGTATTACCAGATATATGATCAGAAGCACCAGAGTCAATTACCCATGAATTTTGACCCTCCACAGATTGGGAAATGCAAGCAGTTGATGTGCTAGCAGTTTGAGAGGTCTGTGCCAAGCTATTAGACTTCAACCGTAGATACTCTTGGTATTCGTCCTCAGTGAACTTGGAGTTGACGGTTTCAGCCTTCGAGACATTGGCGGTTTTGGGAGGAAAACCATGCAAGGAGTAGCAG